TGTTGAGGACATCATGTGAGCACCACAGACCGTGAACTCCTTCAAAGAGAAAATGATTGCAAGGTATTTTGGGAAATGTTAGCGGACTGGATTGCGTGACTAGATTGGGTAGCAGGGGGAGCGGACACCCGGGAGGAAAGAGGGCAGGACCTCTCAAAGGAGGAATGACAAGAGACTTATCAGAGGACGGCAAGCGACGTTTCTCCGTTAGTGGAAACCAGGAGAAATATAGGAATTTCTTCCATGAGTTGGGATCTGGAGTGGGGTAGATTGTTGGTTTCTAGTTATGAGGTTCTTCCAGACTTCACGCACACCTAACTGCTATGATTGCAGTGTTGAGGAGCTTTACTTTCACATGTAAGAGCGGGAGCCCACACTTAAATATGGGCCACTATATCTATGTCTGGATTTATGAAAGCAGTGTTAATGAAATCATGCCCTGCTGAAGTGTTTTATTCCTCCAAAGTAGACAATATAAAAATCAAAAGAAATGTCTTTTTCTTCTCCACTCTTTCATCTTCCTTTTCTTGCTCTTCTCTCTCTCTTTTTTTTCTTCTCTTTTTTCATCGCTTGGAGTGATTTAAAGGCCTTTAGGAGTCGATTAATCTGGTGATTTGGTGCAAAGTATAGACACAGTTTTCATACTGACCCAGTCATATAAATTAAAAGGAGCTTACGTAGCAGCGCAGTGGATAAAATTTCCATGGAGTGTCGTAGGTTATCTGTGACCAGGCTCTTTGTAGAGAAAGAAAGGAAAGCGCAAAGGGCCTAAATTATACGCTTCGGAATCAACACTCAAGACTAACAATAAAACAAAAACATACTTTATTTCGATAAAACTTATTTTCTTTACAATGTCAATCCAACTCTATGTACATATAAATAGTCAACACACTTTGTAACTAAATTACTTTAATGGCGGACCATTATTTCTTTGAAGGGGGTTAAGTAATTTCCAAAAATATTCCTACACAGCAAAAACTGCTGAAAAAGTCACTTAAGGAGAGCCACAGGCAAAAAATTGAGCACATACTTTTCTACTAAGCAGATTTCAAAAACAATTCTTGCAGAAGCTATTGCTCACCAAAGTCATGCACCACCTAATGGGGAGAAAACAATTTCATACCCTCGACTATTTGCCCAACTGCACCCCCCTTGAAAAAATGGTCCGTCTGTTACCGCCTTCTGCTGAGAGTAGGGGTAAGAATCTCATTAACCACGTCACAAATACCCAGTTAAATAATTCACAAATGCAAATGGTTCCAGGGGAAATAACTTATATTAGCATCTTTTCACAATTAATTTAACAATAAATATACATTACAGTACACATTTTAACTACTGATCTAAATGGATCAGCTAGTATGCACTACATCAGTTTTTGCAGAAAGGTCAATGCCCTCCCAAGTTCACTTACTAAAAGCATTATTCCTGCTTGAATCAATGCAATTTGCATGGAAGAAAGGTATACATATAAAGTGGCACTGCAACAGAGGT